ATTTTTACGGTGACAAATTATCTATGAGATGATATTTTAATACAATATTGGTAGTGACTGATCGTTTAAAGTTCAGGTAAAGCAAAATCAGTGATTTGTTTCTAAATACATTATCAATATTAGAAAATAGTTGCTGAAAACACATTAAAAGACAGAGAACTATGTAGTGTGGGGTCAGATCGTTTGAGCGTTTTTGGGTCCAGGATTTTTTTGGGCAGGGGAGAAAGCATGGCTGAGTGATGCACTGGAGCCGTCCTTAACAAAACACCTCCCCCCGACACTGTGACCTTATAAATGTTAGAGCGTACAGAGCTCTAATGCCCACATTTGTTTTAGGGCCACTTGTAAGAGTGAGAACAGATGAAAATTTACAGCCATGCTTATGTTTTTTTAAAAGAAATAACATCAGTGCTGCTGCCTCAGTATTTAACTGTGACAAAAGTAGGAACACATTTTTCATCTCTATAGCTAAGTTTCTCTTCTATGACAACTGTATGGGGGGTGACGTTATTTAGACCTCACCAGTTTAAATTATATTGAGACTAAAAATTACAAATAATTAAGGGCATGGATGCTTTGAGTAACAGGCAGGAGGGTCCCGCCACAGGTGGCTGGCCGCTAGCTGTCTAGAGAGCTCCACTCATGCTCCACCTCTTTGCCCATTTTTGGATTAGCCATAGTAGGCGGACTGAAGCACTACTAATATGGCGACAGCCAGACTTGAGCTTCAAAGTGGCTCAAATCTCAGAGGAAATGCCACTGAGAAGATCATTCCTCCAAAAACCAGACATCAGACAATACAGGAAAATGGATGACAATATGACCAAGGGTTATCTGTAAGACCACTGTAGAAAATGCACTACCTATACATCTGTCCCAGTTTCTTCTTAGATCAGCTCCACAGAGCAGTGTTGTCATTTTAACCCTCCAGCACTGTCTGTGCCAGTACCCGCGTTCTTATCCTGGTCTCTCATGCTGTGACAGGCTGCTCTTTTGTCATGGCTAGAGGCTGTTAATGCCAGTCTGTTGCTTCAGTGCTATGAATCTTTCTACCAATCTGTTTACTAACCTCTGGCAACCAGCAGTGTGTGTATAGTGGTGCATGTGTGTAACCTTGGCAGTGGATTCTGTTATGTCTCTGTCTCTTCTGGCCTCCTGCCTGCTGTGTCTCTCTTAACCTCGTTGTGGGTCACGTCCACTCCTGGATGCTCTCCCGACACAGCCGGCATGACACATGACATTAAAACAACTGACCTTGATGTCGTACAACCCGTGGAGAGTGAACCTTGGGTGGTACACACAGTGTGACCTGACTTGCTGCTGTGCTGGACAGACAAGAGAAAATACAGTCCCTCCACGGAGGATTCAGTGAAGGACACATGGCTTTCCTAATTCATTTTAGGAAGCAACAAGATTTGAATATAAAACAGGTGAGAATTTCTTTCTAAATGTAACTTGAGAGGCATCTAATGTGGCATTTCAATCAATGAAAGCCCCTATAGAATGTGGATAGAGCAGACACAACTCAAAATTATAGATCTTCAGTTCCCTGTAAAATGACAGAAATAAAATCAGAATCCTTGGCCCTTCACTGCTTGTTGCTGAAGCAATAACATATTGAAGTCCTCAGGATACGGGGGGCTGTAAGTGAATTATGAACAAGGAATTTAGTTGTGTGCCAGTTCGTTTTTATTTAAAGGCGCATTAACTCATTTTTCTTAGTTGATACAGTGTCTAGTGAGATTCAGAATAAAACTAATATGTCCTGTTTCCTCGCAACGACGACTGCAACCGCCAGCCTGAAGCTACCGTTAGCTGAGTCCCAGAGTCCAAGCTCTATGCAGCATTGCAGCAGCAATGTCAAGTGATGAGACTTATGGAGGAGAACGGAGCTAACAAAGCACTAATGTTGCACAAAGGAACTTGAATTACTCCCAAATTACAATATAATCAATTCAAAACATTGACGTTGCTAATGTTACCCAAACAAATGTTAGCTTTAGATGTTAACTCATCCAGAAGGAAGAGTGTTCCGCCTCACAAGAGGCCAAGCTGATAACTTTGGTTTTTGCTCTTTCTTCATCTCACTCTCTCTGTTAAAAAGAATGCCACCTCTTCATTCTGGCAGTCACTGTTTCAAACTTTTGGTTGACTAGAGCTCCTCTGTGGCTGGCTGTTGAAAATGAAGGCTTGCGTTCAAACAACGCGTCTTATAACCTTTGCTTGGTGGCTGCTTCACTGCTTCTCCACCCTCAAAACAGAGGAATAAAAACAGAAGGGCTGTAGGCAGCAGTGCACCATGGAGCGTCAGCTGAAAGACATCATGTCCTGCCCCATATTCACTTTATTTATTAGACAGAAGGGATGCAACAATACCAGAAACTCATGGTATGATACTGTCAAGACAAAAAGTCCACAATCTGCTATTTATCATGATATTAAAAAAATGAAAAAAAGATTAAAAAATATCCCTTACTAAATAATAAATCTGACATTTTTCTATAATGCATATAAAAAATAATGCAGCAGTCATTTCATGAGAGAAAATAATGTACAGTATTATTGCAGTAGCTGGATCTTGTAATTAAAACCTGTCACACTCACAGTGGAACATCAGTGTTTTAGTGTCGCCTTCATTTTCTGTATTTGGCGACTGTGCCAAGCAGTGTTTGGGGTCTCAGTACTGGACCGGTATCCCACTCCACTACCGGCCAGTACTGTGCAAACCGCTGTCTGGTGCACCAGAAGGAGGCAGAAGAAAACACCAAAGTAGAATAGCCCACATAAAGGTAAATATTTGTGTTTTACTGGAGGTGTTTTTCAAACATTGTGGTCTACTTTTTCAAGGAAAAAATAACTAAGGGTGGTTACTAAGGGGGTTACTTTGTGTATGTGCATCCGCTTTTATTTGCCCATCTCCGTTTAAGTGTTATGTATAGTTGTGTCCCGTTTCTGTGAGATGTCTCCAGGGCTGTATCAGCCGTATACAACCCTAATATTGCCTTTGATCGCAAGTATTTGTAAATTGTTCAGTCTTTTTTTTTTCTGTCTGCATCATTTCTAGGAAAACTGAAATGCTGCCACACAACAGCTCTAAAAGTAACTGCTATGTTGGTTTCTGCGACCTGAATGCAGTTATATTAGCAAAATATCCCTATCATTGTCGATAATGTCACAGTTTCATGATGGTATTGAGACATTTTTCTGTTGTGATATCACAGAATTACAAATATTGTTACATACCTATTAGAAAATCTTACTTACAAATATTGTTACATACCTATTAGAAAACACCTTTGCACCTTTAAACTGTTTCATCTTCACCTTCTCTAG